ATATTCTGCACAAGTCAAAATGGACAAGCAAAATAATCAATCTAAATGGTGCGTATTACCATATATGGAGAAATAAAATGTGAGATCTCCTTATGGTAATCAAAATGCATTTACCTGTGTTTAGTTCAACTAAACCAGAAGACAAGACTGATGAGGAAAGACAAGACTGATGAGGAATGGGCTTTCGAACATGCGTCCAAATCTTGGTTGGTAGATTTGATAATGAAGATTTCTGTAGCACCTTCAAACTCTCCCAAGACACTTTGAGTGTAGCAGAGAATGACAGTACAGTTGAATTGTGGCATAAACGACTACGCCACATGAGTTAGAAAACTCTGGCAAGAAAGAACGTACTACCTGGATTGGATAAAGTTCACCTAGACAAGTGTCCTGATTGTATGGCAGGAAAGCTCAACAGAGTAGCTTTTAAGATTACCCCTCCTTCTAGAATGAAGAATGTATTAGATCTGGTACATTCAGATCTGTGTTGACCATTGACGGTGTCATATGGTGGAAATCGATACTTCGTTACATTTATCGATGACCATTCTAGGAAGACCTGGGTATACACTTTGAAGTCCAAAGATCAAGTTTTAGATGTTTTTAAACAAGACAGGCAAGAAGCTGAAGTGTATCAGGACAGATAATGGTGGAGAATACACTAGGCCATTTGATGCTTTTTGCAAAGAGCATGGCATTTGACATCAAACGACACCTCCCAAGACTCCGCAACTGAACAGTTTCGCTGAGAGGATGAACAGAACTTTGATGGAGAGAGTTAGATGTTTACTCTCACATGCAAAGTTGTCTAAAAGATTTGAAAAGATTTGGGGTGAAGCGTTTACTTTCCCCACAGTTCGTCACGTTTCACTCGTCTATTTCCCTCTACAGTATGATACTCCAGAGTAGAGTATGGTTAGGCAAAGGATGTTCCTATGATCATTGCGGGTGTTGGTTGCAAAGCCTTTCGTGCATATCCCGAAGGATGGAACGGTCTAAGTTTTTGATGTCAAGACTAGAACAGTGTCTATTCAATTGACTACTGGAGACCATAAATAGATATCAATGTGGTCAATTACTTAGATGCTTTAGTGACTCAAATCTCCAGAAAAGACGATTATAAGAAATAAGCAGTAGATATCTGTAATCTGGTGATTGAGAAAGGATGCCAGGAATGGAATTAGAAGAGTATAGAGGGACGAAATGTGCAAATTAAATATATAGATCTGTATGAAGACTCAATCCAAGAAACACGTAATTACAGTAGAATGTTCACTCACTCTCTCAATATGACCGCAAAACAAATTTTGGAGAGATATAGACGAGAATCTATGTTTCTATACTAAGATGTGGCCCAAGAGTTGAAAATAAATATCGTTTATGTTATTTAGAATAATGATGATCGAGAATTGAAGATTATTGTGTGTTCAGAGTCAAACATCACAGCCAAAACCGGAGGTTTCTCGAAAAACATTAAGATAATGATCTTAATATAGAGTCTGACAACCATAACTTACTAGATATCCAGTCAAATGAGTATTACTGAACTGAACTGCGTGGAATTCGAGGAGAACCTGAAAGCTTGTAATGATAGTCTATGGAAATGAACACAAGAGGAACTAGGATTGAAGCCATAAGAGATGAAATGAAGTCCTTGCATAGGACGAAACATTTGAAAGCTGGTGGAAGTTGCCCCAAAGGCAAGAAGCTTGAAGAAAAGTGGGTGTTCGGGATCAAGCCGTGAAGAACACAGCCCCAACCATCGATTGAAAGCTAGACTGGTTGTGAAAGGATTCAATCAAAGAAAGGGGTATTGGATTTTGATCTTTTCACGGCAGTTGGTAAAATGACATCCATTTCGACAATGTCGGAAATGGCCGGCCAGTTAATGGCCGCCAGTTTTGAACTGGAAATCGAGCAAATGGATGGAAAGACTACCTTCCTACATGGAGATTTGGAAGAAGAAATATACATGGAGCAGCGAGAGGGTTTCGTAGAAAAAGAGGATTGTGTTTGGAAACTGAAGAAGAGCCTCTACGGCTTGAAGCAGGCACTGAGACAGTGGTACAAGAAGTTTGAGTATGTTATAGGGGAGAATGGCTACAGAAAGACTACTTCAGATCACTGTGTTTCTTATGAGGAAATTCTCTGATGATAACTACATTGTTTTTGCTCTATGTGGTTGATATGTTGACTGTTGGTCAAAATTACTATCTTGAAGAAACAACTAAATAAGTCTTTTGCCATGAAAGACTTGGGACCAGCAAAGCAAATTCTTGGCATGAAGATTATAAGGAATCGAAGAGCCAAGAAATTATGGTTGTCACAGGAGTCAACAGGAGAAAGGTACCATTGAGAAAAGTACTTCAAGGTTTAGAATGGAAAATGGTAAAGCGATTAGGTTATCGCTCTTACCCTCTTACTAATCACTTTAAATTGAGTTCTAAAGAGTGCCCTTCTACCGATGAAGAGAAGGAAGATATGGAAAAGATTCCATATGCTTCAGCAGTTGGAAGCTTAATGTATGCCATGGTTTGTACACGGCCAGATATTGATCACTCAGTCGGAGTAGTGAGTCGGTTTCTTTCAAATCCTAGAAAGGAACATTGGACTGCAGTGAAATGGATTTTCATGATATCTAATCACTTTTGCAGGGGGAGCCGTGTCGTGACAGTCAAGATTACAAAGATTACAAAAGTGTGTTGCTCTGTCAATAACTGAGGCAAAAGGAGAAGTCTGAGCTGTGTGTCCAAAGTGCCAAGAATGGCAGTCCCACATGTCCGTCGGAGGGGGAGAATTGTTGTGTCTCCGCATGTGGGACCTCCCCCGCTTTGAAAAGGAACAAAAAAAAGGGAAAACGTGTTATTTGAAAAAGAAGAAAAGTTCGACAATTTTTTCTTTGACAAAGTAATAAAGACGTGCATGAGTTAATACGACGACTCATTCACTAAAATTGCTATAAAAGGAGGCAGAACGAAGCTCAAGTTTAAAAACACAGACACACACGAGAAACGAGAAAAAAAATGTAGAGAGAGAGGTTATCTAGTTTTTAGGAGAGAGTTCCCTTAAAATTAGGGGGGAGAAAAATAGGAGAAATTATTAATGGGGTTGCTTTGGAAACACTTTGGAGTGTCCACTATTTTGTATTACTCCTCTTTGTGTACTACTATTTTTAATAGTGGAAGAATTATTCAGCAGTTTGTCCCGTGGACCGTAAGTCCTAAACAGTTTTGAGGGTGAACCACGTAAATTTTCTGTGGTCAACAATGGTGAATTTTATTCTGCTGCGTTAATTTTCTCTTAATTGGTTGAAAGGACCCAACGAATGGTATCAGAGTTAATGCCTAACAAGTGGTATCAGAGCTGATGCCTAACATAAATAACTCCTTAGCATTTAAAGATCCTGGAGAAAAACCAATTGATAAACAAAGAGCGTTAGAGCAATAGATAAAATCTTTTAAATTAAAATTTTAAATATTGTTTTGTTGTAGGTAATAGATAAAATTTTACAATTAATCCAATCAAATCTATAAAAAAGGAAAAAGAAATGTGAAGAAAATGTATTAAAAAATTAGAAAATTTATAAAAAAACGAAAAAAAAAGGAATGCTGAAATAGGAGTGTGCCAAGTTAGCTTGTTATAATTTTTTTTGTTTCAGTTTTTTTTGTTTCAGGATTATATATATATAAGTTGGTTAATGTAATAATTTAAATTGTGAAACCAATGTAAAGTTGAAGAATTTAATAAATTTATTTTTTAATTTTATTACCAATGTTAAAAAGGGCGCAAATCTTTTCATACATTTAGTTGATTTAAATATCTTTTATAATTTAGTTCGATTTAAAATTTTCACAAACCACTATTATAGATTTGGGTTGGATTTTCAAACTAAACCATAATAGTCAGTCAATTATATATAAGTCACAGGAATCACCTTGCCAAGTAAAAAATCACACTGTTTATTCCTCTACGCGAATTGTTAATCTAAAAAAACAAAAGGATGAAAGTCAAATAAATAGAGAATCCTGCAAGAAAGGAAAGAGTTGCTCTACAAATAGAGAAAAGAAAGGGGATAGATGGATTTCAAAATTTCAAGTTTTAATTAAATCTTTTAAATTTTAATATATTGTTTTGTTGTTGATAATGGATAAAATTTTATAATTAATCCAATCAAATCTATAAAAAAGGAAAAAGAAATGTGAAGAAAATGTAATAAAAAATTATAAAATTTGTAAAAAAAAGAAAATAAAAAGTAATGCTGAGATAGGGGTGTGCCAAGTTAACTTTCCTCTTCTAGAATTTTTTTTTTTTTTGTTGGATTCAGGATTAAATATATATATATATTTATATATATATATATATATATATAATTTATATATATATAATATAATATATATATATATATATATATATATAATAGACAAAAGTTGGTTAATTTAATAATTCAAATTGTGAAACTAATGTAAAGTTGAAGAATTTAATAAATATATTTTTTTAATTTTAATATTAAGGTAAAAAGCGATGCAAATTGTTTCATATATTTAGTTGACTTAAATATCTTTTATAATTTAGTTAGATTTAAAATTTTCACAAACCACTGCTACAGATGTGGGTTGGACTTTCAAACTAAACCATAATAGCCACTATTATTTTCAGTTAATTATTCTTTTTCTTTTTTAAAATAATAAGTATTAAAAAATGAAAAAATAGTTTTAAATCGATTTGAATTGATTTAAACAGTTTTTGAAAAGGCGAAAGAAAATAAAATTATGTTTTTTTCCATTTATTTGAGATAAAATACATTTGTAATTCAATTCTAAAAGGATATATATTAAACCAAAAGTCTTAAAGCATTATCAAAATGTTTTTAAGATCAGATCAATCCAGATCAATCATTAAACTAATCTATTTAGTGTTTTAAGAATTTCAATTTTGATTTTACAAAGCCACAAACAATTTTCAAGAATCACCAAATATTAATACTAATAACTCTACAAAACCAAAACTCTCTCTCAATATACAAATACCGATAATAATAAGCCTTTCAAAGAATTTTAGAAGATAATAATACTAAGCAACAGTAATGGAAAAATGATTATATTAGAACTAATTATGAACTTAGTGTGAGCATAATTGGGTAGCCTTGGATAATCATCTGGTTGTGGCATCACACATTCTTCACCATTAAACAAAACTCTTCTGGGTAAAGCCCATCCTTCTCTGAAAGTGAAATCTTCAGATTTGCCCCTCTGTGCGCACAGCTACATGCGAAGTTATTTATTTGCAAAAGGGGGTAATCCATACAGAATACGCTATCAAAAAACCTATTGACTCCTTCAATTTTTATTTGACCCATTGAATTCTTGAATTTTGTTTCTATCCCTATTAAATACAATCTGTCTATATAAATAGATGCAAATGTATGCAAATTTTGACATATCACTCCATAAAATCCCACTGCATCATAATCTATGTCTAACTTTTTCAAAATAAAATAATAAATTATATTCGGTATACATATTTCTCTCCATTTTCGCCACTTTCATCTCTCAACATACAATTCAACCCTTCTTTTTCTCTCTCATCATTTTTATCCACATATAATCAAAGTATCCAAGCTCTTTGGCAAATTGAGTTCAATGAATACAAAAATGAACATTCAAGGGTTGAATAGATCAAAATAAAATTTGGAGAGCTTAATGTGCTTTTATGCGGAGTATTCCTTTGAAGAGAGATCGCTGAGGAATGCATTTTATGCGGAGTATTCCTTTGAAGAGAGATCGCTGAGGAATGCATTTTCGAGCATATAAGAACTTTATGCATAGAAGCAGTTTGGGAATTACTAGGTAACTGATTTGGTAGACTTCAAGGCAGTGTGATCTCGCTTAAAATTTTACCAACTGATCACTGGCGTGTAATAAAAGATTTGCCCTGTGCGAGAGAAATATTGAAACTTCCATTTTTTTTTTTTTTTGATGTTCTTTGTAGAATTTCTTTTTTGAGAATGTTGCAAATTGTGGAAGGCTTTTGCCTTTTTCTTCTTTTTCCTAATGATTCTGCCTTAGTATTAGCCAGATGATATTGCCAGTTTTTGGCTTTATCTTAAGTAGTAAGGGATAGAATGGTTGTTGAAGATGGGTCTTGGCTTAAACTTCATATACTAATTGTCAAAGGAAATTGCTTCTGAAAAAACAGTTTCCAGCTTCTATGCAGCTGAGTTGAGCCTTGCAATTTTTAGCTTGAAAGACTTTTAATGGAAGAGTGAACCAGGTCTGGTAGAGTGCGGTTTAATTTTCCTTGTTTGGCTTATTAAGAGGAAGTTTCATTGCCTCTTCAGATTGAAAAGCAAAAGTCTTTTTCGTTTTGTCTCTGAATGCTTTTTAAATTTTCACATGTATGCTGTACATGAATTTATGCATGTACATGCATAAGTTCGCATTAAGTTCTGCAGTCTATTAGGCGACTGAGGAGAAGAAATGTTGTGATGGGATGGGATGCGGACAGAGAGACATATTGCAACACTTGTTATCCTTATGTTGGCTGACATTACTGAAAGAAACTAATATTATGATTTTTCTTTATTGCAGCCTGGAACTAATCTAGTAAACTACTGAAGTACTGAATAAATCATTGAATTATCCAGAAAACTAATCTTGTGTCCACTTGTGCTGGTCTCCTTGTTGAGTGCTAGATTTATTTTCTGCTTTCTGAAAGCTTTCTCTTCGGATGAACTGCTTTTTACCTGAAAATTTTAGGTACAGAGATGACGTAGGAAGACATAAAAATGAAAATTGCTCATACAGTCAGGAGAAAATCACTTAGCTACCTTCTTGTTGGATCTGTTCGCAAAAGTGAGAAAGTGTATCTCTGGTCTGGCCTGGGAAAAGGTCAGGCTGAGGCAAGGGTATTTGAATCCTGGCCTGACCCAACCAAGGCCTGCAACTATTAGCTCAGATGGGCTTGTGATTTGAATATGTTAGGGCCTGACCCTACCTGGCCTACTGGAAGAATAAAAAATTAATACGTTACGTATGTTGTTTGTAGTGCTGGGTCAGGTCAGGCTTGTGCCCGACCCAAAAACAAGAACATGTTTCCACATTGTGTATGTATGTGTTTATCTTTTTGATCTTTGAATGATATAACGGATGCTCAACCTTTTGAGGGTGCTTTCAGTGGAGCATGAAGTCTTGGAGAGGGAGATTGGGAGACTACGAGCCTTGTATCAGCAGCAACAACAACAGCGACAGCCACAACAGCAGCAGCAGCAACCATCTTCCAGCCATCGCCGAACTAACAGCAGGGACCTTGAATCCCAGTTTGCAAACCTCTCCTTGAAACAAAAGGATGCCAATCCTGGTCGTGAAACCTCTCCTTGAAACAAAAGGATGCCAATCCTGGTCGTGATCCTGTGACAGGTCCACTCCGCACTTAGATAAATAAATTAACCAGAGATTTGTTGTGCCACCATTTTGCTTAGTTGGGCTACCACATTAACCATCATTATTTTCTCCTCGAGTGGGGTAAAGCCGAGTTCCTCCAGTCTCCATTCCGCCTCTCTGTCTGATTTGCACAATTTATTTTTACTTTGTTTCTTGCCCCGTTTTCGTTTGATAAAATTAATATCTTCACGTGCACCTGGTTGTCATTGCGGGAAAATTATGTTTCCAGGCTAGATGACTTACCGGAGGTGGTAACTTAAAAGAGGTTCCATATTTGGTCTCTTCTGTATGTTATAATTCAGGAAATTTATGTGCTCCACTTGTAATCCATTTAGAGTATCTAATTCGTGGAGTCGAGTTGTAGCGAAGGATGTTTAGAGCATGTTGGATCTGCGTCATTTGTAATGGTGTTACTCCAAAGAAATGCTTTCTTGTAAAATCTGTTAATTGAAATTCACGTCTTCTTGCTTATTTTCACTGTTATGAGAAGGCCTGAGTCCTTGTTTGGCTGCTAGGAAATGAAATGCTGATGCTGCTTCTGGCTGGTAATTTATAACTGTTGTTCCCTCCTCCTGTAATTTAGGTGTATTTTTCATGGCCTAAACTGACTCGCTTCTGGCCTTCGGATAAATATTATAACTGTAATTTTGTTTCTCCTTTCCTCCACAATGTATAAATTTAGGTGTATTTTTCAATTGGCTATTTCATATATTCCTTTTTAAAAATTGGGACTTCGGTTCTTGCTTATTTTCACTGTTATGAGAAGGCCTGAGTCCTTGTTTGGCTGCTAGGAAATGAAATGCTGATGCTGCTTCTGGCTGGTAATTTATAACTGTTGTTCCCTCCTCCTGTAATTTAGGTGTATTTTTCATGGCCTATATACCTTAAAATTGGGGACTTCGGTATTGAGTTGTTTAGACCATGTTTATGGATTCAATTGTGGACCAACTAATGAAAAATGATTTTTTATTGAATCTGTGGGTATTCCTGATCATGCAATAGGAAAAAAAAAAAAAAAGAAATTTTTAAAAAATTCATATTTCCATTGATTTAGTTTATGAGTGGATTCTAAGATGTGATAATTCTATAGTAAATCAGATCACGGTTATGTCTAATAGATTGTTCTAATAATATGTTGAAACTTGAAACTGATGGCATTAAAAAGATGGGCCTTAAGTTATGTCATATATGATGTTGCAATGAAAGAAAAAAAATTAAAAAAGAAAAAATTAGTAAAAATAATTATGAGAGATTTATAATAATTGTATAATTGATTTTAAGAATTAATGTTTAGAATTAGATTTTAAATATCATGTCCTGAAAGAAAACATAACTCAAGAATATGGATTGATTGTGAGGCAACTACGGAAGGTTTCGTGGGAAATAATGTCCGAAATTGATAAGGAAAAAACGCTAATTCTACGGAAGGCTTAAACTATTTTTGCTCACTCCATGCTAGACTCGTAAGAAAAAATGCTTACTACAGCGGGAATTTTCTTTTTTTAAAAAAATCAAACACTCGTATGACTTGAGTCATTTGCACTCGGAATAACCATGTTTTGTGAATTTGTGTATATATTTTTTTAATCATTAATTAACGGATTATAATTAGTTAGTATTTCTTGCATACTATACAGGATTTATAGTTTGAATAGGTACAATATGGTAAACATAATCAAAGAATAAGAGTGCCGACATGCTTTTGATCATAGGGCATAAACTCAGTTTAGCATATTTAATTTGGCCTTGTCACTTACGTCTAACAAGAAGCACTATATATATATATATACAGTTCTAGAATTTAAGCTGCTCATATTAGCACGTGACACAAATTAATTATATATAGAATTGCAGAACAACTATGATTAATTTTTAAGAAATGTCCGATATTATGTGGGTCCATTAAGGAGTTGTTGTAGAGTTACAATCAATTGGATTCAGATGATGTTAAAGCAAAGACAAAATTAAGTCAAACTGATTAGAAGTGTATTAGACCCACTGTATAGATTTTAAACACGAGTCCCTCTCAATGTTTTTTTTTTTTTTTTTTTTTTTTTTTTTTTTTTTTTTTTTTTTTTTTTTTTTTTATCCTCTCCTTTCATATTTATATATAAAAAAAAAGATTTATACACGTGAATCTCTGCTTAAGTTGGAGTCATATTGAGAAACAATATTCTCAATAATGGATTGGTATTCAAATAAAGTCTTCCTAACAATGACGATAATTAATTTTTGATTAATTAATTATGATATAATAACACAATTTTTAAAAAAAAAAACAATAAAATATTATTTTATATAATATATCATTCATGAAGTATCAAAATATAGAGACAATAATGAAGTGTAAATCGAAAATTAGGACACAATTTGAAGAAAACAAATTACAGAATACAATATCATTTATTTAATAATCATAACACACTATACATTAATCACGCCACATCATGAATATTAATTAGAAACTCTCTACAGTGAAAAGGTCGTACTCGCCGCCACTTTTAGACCCCAATATGCTTCCCAACCCTTTGGAGACAAAGGGACTAATTTTCAACCATAAGAAAATAACAAGTCTTAAAAGATTTTGCGGTACGCACTTGAGACGCTGGGGTCCCAGACACTCCTTGTCACGGACTTCTGTTTTTAGGTGGCAGTTCACTAATAAATATTAAACAATACAATGTGAGTATATGAAGAAACACACGCAAAGTTCGAAGTCTCACGTAAAGAGAATCTT